CACACACACACACACACACACACACACACACACACACACACACACATATATTGATTAAAACTAAAACTATAGAAACCCCAGGGTAATGGGTAACAACACTGATTTTTGTTCAGTGATACTCAGTGATTTCTAGGACAGTGAGTCTCAACTGAGAAGAATGCCCTTTTCCTGCTTTCTGGGAGACTGAAGAGGGGGACATTTGTTCCAATCCAGAAAGGAGAAAGAATTAGAGGATTTGTTTGAGTACATAAAGGAGAAAGGATTAAAAACACAATGTGGTTCAAGAGGACTTGCATAGAGGTAACCTCCTGAAGAAATCCTTTCCTTCCCTTTTCAATGCTTAGGTTATTGGTCATAGATTTTAAAAATCTTTTTGTTTTTATCTTTTCCTGGTAAAGACTTTTTTATTGTAGTAATCATTCATTTCATTATTTGCTCAGCAGTTTAAATTCAGAATAGGACTAGTTGTTGAGAGATAAAAACAAGCAAATGTATAAATAAGGATAATAATAATACCAGTAATAAATAATATATTCAGGATGCATGTAGCACAGTTTATTCATTATTATGCATATAATATATATTTTATTATGCCTACTATATGTACAAAGTATATATTTATAACTACATGACATATAATTATAAGTATATATTTTTAATAAATTTTATATAGTTTGCACCTCTGTGGAACTTTTGTTTTTTTCATTTTCTTTTATGCTTTTACAATTATTTTCTTTGGCAATTCATACATCAATAATAAACATTATTGTCATACCCTGTATACTACCCTCTGTTCTCCCACTCCCATCTCCACTAGCTCTCCTTTCTTCTAACACATATTTCTCTCATTATTCATGTCTTTTTATTTTGTTTATGTTTTTGTTTGGAAACACAGAGTTTAAGGCTGTCTACCAGCATAAGCCTGGTATGAAGAGATCCACCTACCCACCAAAGCATGAATAACTAGACATCAGCTATACTCACTGAGGAAAATGACACTTTGCCCAGCAGCCACCTACTACCAATAGCTCTCCTTGGAGGGGACTGGTCCCATGTCTCCTCCCCTCACCCCCAACATATATGGCTGAATGTTGCAGGGGCCAAACTTCTGCAAGCTCTGCATAGGTAAATGCAACTTCTACAATTCATGAGTTCAGTGGTCATAGTCTACCTAGAAAAAAGCATTTCACAGGCCCCTTTCTCATCATAGGGTTCTTTCTTAACTTGATCCCTGCATCTAGGTTGTTCCCTGAGCCTTGGATGAATTAGTAAGGATATCTTCCTGAGGGCCATGCATTCCACAGTATTTTATTCTCAGCATCTTACCCATTCTTTTTATGCACCAAACACTCACTGAGGCAGAAGCTTTCAAAGATTTCTACACCTGTGAAAAATGCATGGACAAAACTCTAAAGGGTTTTAAATATTTAATTAATAAGTTTTGATTGTTGATCTCAGATAGTTAGGAGCAGCTTTGAGGTCCAAATGAAGTTGTTTGATTCTTTTATATTTGGTATTTGTTGTCAATAAATAAATATATTTTTGTTAGAAGACATCTGTGAATAGCATTAAATATATTGCAGTGTTGAACTGCAATGTATTTAGAAGCTTAGGCTAAATCATGCAATGGATGGCAATATTGGTCAACTGCTATGTTTTTCCAAATAGCAGAATGAAATCAGCATCTTATCTTAGAAAGAATTGAAAAGAGACAGGTCCTAAAATCTGACCTGACCTCATTTCATGCAAAATTTCATTTGTTCTTATTTGAGTATGTAATTTGGTCCTCAACAGAGGCCTTATTAACATTGATTTCTTATTGATCTGCTCCATGCCAGCATTCGCTTATAATGTACTTGACATTTGTCCATCATAAAAAAAATAAAAGGCATTGGCAGATGAGTGTCAACTTAACGTTTGATCAAAATGTCCCATAATTGAATGGGAAAGCAATGTTAACATTATGCATTTGATTCCAGTTCATTTGCTCAATCTGCTAACATTTTAGAGCACTGACCCTCAAAATTCTAATGCATGTCAAATCGGTATGTAAATACCAGCAATTCTGGGGAGATTTGCAATGTAGAGCCTTATGCTAATGAGCAATATCCCAAGGAGCTGGAAGTTTTTCTTCCCCTCTGATACACGAACCAGAAAATTAGAAAGCTGACTCAAGAGCAAAGTAGCTAAGAGACCATTAACAGATACACAGTGCCTAGATCAGGGTCTAGAGTCATACATACCATTGACAACACATATTGGGTAATTAGCTCATTTCTCTTACTTATCTCTAATGATAAAAAGTAAATAAAAAAATCACTTACCCACAACAATAAAAAGCAGCCCTCCCCCATACAAAGAATGGTCTCAATGAACTAAACCAAACTTAATATTCAAATACAGTTAAAGGGTATTTTTATTTAACATGTTATGGAAATTTCCAAGTTTGAAGATGAAAATATATTTCTTATATATTTTAAAACTGTGTATGTTTACCTTTTGTGTGTGAGCAGGATTGTGCATGGGATCTCTGAGCAAAGATACATGTAAAGTCAGCCTTCTTATTCATTGTCTTACATTAAAAATATTTTCTTCATCGAATGTCTATTTGTTACCCTTACTAAAGTACTGGCCAGTTTGAAACATGTTCCAAGAAGAACCACCCTGGTCCAAACCTGTGCTAACATGTTCTAGTCCAGCACGATTTATTATTTGTTAACTGTATAAAGTTGGCTTAAGCTCTGTGTACTGTAAAACCATACTTCCTCTCTTGAATCTTATCACAAGAGCTAAACATAAAATGCTTTAGCAAATAAAAAGCCCTGCATGGACATGAGTAATGCTATCAACAACATTATTCATTTGTCATTTGCAAGGAATAAACAATGCTACACCTCTAAGGTTTGAAAAGTATTTTGTCATCAGTCAATATAAGTATTCTGTAAATGGAATCCTCCATGTTTAAATTATATTTTCAAAGCAGCCTATTAGAGTGCCTTTGAGAAGTTTACACTGCAGTTTCCTTTGCATATATGGATCTTGGTTTCTTGTAAAATCCCAGGACATTTCAAATAAGGAAAGGTCATTTAGCTCATCTGGTCGATTATAACTATGATCCATTTCCCCAATGAGAAGCAAGGGATACGTTTCTCAATGTATATCAGGGAAAAAAAAAAAAAACAGCTCTTAGAGCATTAGTATTAAAGCATTGCATATGCCTCAAGCTCTGGGCTCCTAATTTCATCACAGACGATTGATGATTCTGCCATCCAGGCTGAATCAGACCCAGGACACTAGGACTCGGTGATTCGGTCAGGTGGCAGGTTCACTGCAGCCTTCATCTAGTTTAAAAAAATATTTTATTGACACATAGAGTATTCAGTGTCATAAAAATATATCATATTTATCACTGCTTTTATGGCATGCATAGATATGACACAGGGGCATTGAGCCACACAGCATTAGACAAGCATTTATTTCACCCTGAGCTGCTACAAAGAATGCAGAGCTCAGCTTCTATCCTGTGGACTGACCCAACAGGACAGATTTCATCAGAAATAAGCATTGGAGAAAAATACAAAAATCAGT